ACGGTCACAAGCTGGCAAAGGGCAGATTCAGATCAGACATCGGGAGGCGCTACTTCACGATCAGGGTGGCTAGGATCTGGAACCAACTTCCATGAGAGGTGGTGCTGGCTCCTACCCTGGGGGTCTTTGAGAGGAGGCTAGATGAACACCTTGCTGGGGTCGTTTGGCCCCAGTACTCTTTCCTGCCATGGCAGGGGGGCGGACTCGATCTGCTCAGGTCCCGTCCAACCCTACCAAGTATGAAACTATGAAACTATGAAAAAATCTCTGCTTGGGACAGGTATATTTTAATAGAGTTGTGGGGGTGCTGTTTTCTACTTGTATTTACTTACATATTGGAAAGTGTAGGAAAACATAAACAACATAAAACAGAAACTGTGTAAAATTCAGCCTTAAATACTTGCAAAATCAAAATATGTATTGGCTCCTCCAGTATGGAGTGTTTACTGGAAACATTTCAGTGACTGACATTTTCATCATTAGCCTCAAAATTGAGTATACTGTTGGAATGGTTAATATCCTTTGAATATTTTATACTTCTAATCTCAGAGTTCAAGTATTCTGCATAAAGTCAGAGTGGCTTTACAGCATCTCTGTTTACCAATGCTAATTAAGAAACACTACTGTATTGCCAGCTCATGAAGGATTTGAACCTGTTACTACAACCAGACACCAAGGCTCACCCTCATTGCCATCAGTTCTCCCATTACTAACTTTAGCCCTGGAACGAACTCTCCAGAGGAAGATATTATATTTCTGGTTCTGTTCTCACATGGCTATTCTTGATGGACAAAGAGCTTATGCTGGGTACTGGTCATTGTGAAATAAGAGGATAATTCCTTGCATAGAGAAGTGATAGGTTTTGAGCCTGAACAAAGGCAGTTAAGTTTAGAAAGGAATTTACAGACCACAAAGGGCTCTTGGTCTGGGCACCAGAAATAAGGCATCATAAGACTACTAATGGCTTATTTTATTAGACTTTTTGGTGGAGTCATGTTAACAGGCTCAGCTGTCAGTCTCTTCTAGGGTTCATGCAACTGTTGTAATGTTGTCTGTCAGATCTGCTGTGACTGGACTGATTTATTTATTCTGATAAAGTAGGTATTCTGATAAAGTAGGTATATTTTACCCATGTATAGTGGTCTGTAATATTTTACCACTTCCTAAAATAAAAGAACACTTGGGAAAATGAACCTTTTATAAGCCTCTCTCTTTACAATTCCCATTTTACAAAATCCTTAAAGAAAGATGATAAAGTTGTTACAAAAATTAAAGAAGAGCATAATGCTCCACCAAATCAAACTCAGTACCATAATTCCATAGTTGACTGTATTGGTGTGACAACCATTGGGGCATAGACAGTACCACAAATAACCACTTAACACACATTTAGTTAATACACAAGTTAATTCACATCTTCTATTCTACTTCATTAAATCTTTCTGATTCCACCTCCCTAACAAGTCATCTGACCTCCTACCTCACCTTCTCTGAAATACAACCATTCCATCAAAAAGCCAATTTTAACTGAAAAAGAGTTCCAGGGAAACATCTAATCATGTCCAGAAACCCAACTTCCTAAATCTCTTTAAAAAGTTGACACCGAAAGACTTGGAGAATGATACAAAAAATCATCACCAAAGCCAAATGACAGGCTCCAAATGTATTTTCCTTCTCTCCTGCACATCTTTCATCTGAATTCACATATTCACCAGGCAGGAATTTATTATGGAGTGGTGTTTTCTTATTTCCCGATGCAGCTGAGCTTTAGGAAAAGGCTAACTGCCTTAATTGAAGCAGAACAAAAGCAAGCAGAGAAGAAAGAGAAAGAAAGGTTCTCCACTTTTGGTTGCTGTAAATCTGACAAGATTAAAGGCTCACCCATCCTATCAGATTGCACTGGGGTGTCTGAATCCTCACAATACCAACACTCTGCCATGCTACTATTCATAATACTTCAGCTGAACAGGTAGGTTGCATTTTCTGATTTTCACATAATCCTAGAAAAAGGTGTCAAAGCACTAACACAATGAGAACTACTGACCTTATGCAAATCAGCCGAGTGAGCAAATACTCTCCTAAATTATTCAAAAAGTTTAAAATAGAGTGCAAGTAGCAGAAAAAAAGAAGCTGTATATTATAAATCAAACTATTTTGTTCATTCTGAGTGTATTACTTGCAAAACTTCCATCTACAAAATAGGAACATAGTTGCCAAGTGATAAATAGAAGCAAGTATTTAAAACTATTCTCCAGCTATTATGTGATTCAGATCAGGACAGCTTTGAATTCTTTTGCTACAAAAAACACTAATGCATAAATGAAACATTGACAAATAGGATTTACAGTATACCATGTTCACCCCTCTTGGTAGAAAATATAAATACAAAATAATCAATATGTCAAACGAAAAGAAAAATACTTCTTGAGGAGCTCCAGTCTTTGGAATACTGAGCAGAGGTGTGGATGGAGAAGGAAGGGAATCAACACCAAGTGAAAAAAACAGTCTATTTCCATACGTTCTAATCTATGTCTCTCCTTGTAGAGGAAGGATAAGAACACCTACAAAAAAACAGCCACTTAAAAAAGAGGTAATTCACACAATAAACCCAGAGAGTTCAAATAAAAATCCATAGTGTCAAAAACATTCTAACATGTCGTGATCTGAGTTTTGTGCAACAAAAGAAATGTGCTGTTATTTTTCTGTAGACAAGAAACAAGTCAAAGCTAAGAAGTGGCATTTTCCAAAGGGTGCTTGAGTCTAACAAAGTTGAGAGCCATTGCACTACAAGGCTGGTCTGATCAATAGGCTGCAAACACCAGAAGGGAATATTAAAAATAAAAATGATTTCACAGATTGTTTTTAATTTCTGAAAATAATCCTATATATTAATTTGTATATAACCTAGCTTTTACAAAATCTAAATTCTTCTAAATGAATCTCTGGAGTTTTTTCATTTACTATTTAGACCACATCTTGCTTGTCCCCTGCTCCTGGCTCTCACATGCCAGACCTAAAAATCTGCCCATGAAGCTACTCCAAGAGTTCTTGAGAGCAGCTGTGGGACAGTGGGAGAAGGCACTCCTAAAGCTGCTTCACTGATACATTTTCAAGTTTGGCACGTAAGCAGAAGCAAGTGAGCGGATCCTGGTCAGAGCATCCCTCCCAGACAGCACTGGGGATGGCTGTGTGCCTTACAATGGTATGCATCTTCCCTGAGTACAAGTTATTTTAACAAGAATCGCTGCTGACAAATGTGGAAACCACGCCCTCCCCCCGCCCCCTCCAAAAAAAGCATTTTACCAGTAGAGAGAGTGTGTCAGTTTGATCTGGCTCACCCATCTGAATAGATCAGGTGCTTCAGCAGGGCTTTTTGGTGCTTTTATCTAAAGCTGATTCAAGTGCTGCTGAAGTGCACGATCTATACAGACTTTGGACAAGTCAGGTCTAAGTGTTGTGATGCCTCTTCTGGGCATGTGCTGCGCCTGGTGTGCAGCATGCCAAGCTGAAAGTAAAGCTCTGTTTTGTTCTGTTTTTTTCACATCTGTAAGCAGCCAACTAGACCTTCATGCATGTTACTCTTTTGGGTTCATTATTGTTATTATTATTATGATTATTATTAAACCCACATATAAGACATTACCCTACTAAGTTGCCCATGCGCAGATTTGGCTCCATAATTCCCTGCTGCTGATCCATCCTGTTGATGAGCAGAATGTCTGGATTCATAGGAAGCTGTAAGTTTTTTTTTTAAATGAAAATAAAGAAAAATCAATTAGGTTGCATATGATTAAAGTAGCAACTTAACACTACAAGATGGAGGATTGCTAAACTGAATAGTCTTATCTCCTGAACCAAATTCTGCCTGCCTCCTGTACTATTTCATAGTTACTCGTCAAGCATTAATAGCAGTAGTTGTCATTGCATCCTATCAGATTAACACTTGCTTTAAGGGTGGTTGTTGAAATGCATATCTACACAACCAGCTGCAGCAGCTCTGAAAGATTCTATTGCAGTAAACTGAATAAATAATGAATGTGGTAAATTCTCAACTGTTGTATTCAAGGAGTTTATTTTTCAATCTAACAGTTTTAAGAAAACATTATCAAAGACAGAATTAGATGATAAAACTTTTCTGCCATGAAACTGACTGAAATCTAAATATGGAAAATTCTTGAATGTCCAAGGTTTTCAGTCACTAATCATTCAATTACCGGAACAGTTATACAATAAACAAAAATAACCCACATGCTTTTAAGTACTCTCAAAAAATAAGTTTTGTGCTCCCTGCTCTACCTGCAACAATTAAAGCTCATGCTAGGAAACATGCTGGCATCAGTAACCATCACATTCATATCCAAACGTGGATGCTTTGCAGAGATAAGTTGTTCCAGGCTGAAGTTACTTTGAAACACAATAGTCCCATATATCGCAAAGAAATTGCGTGTTTGCCGTGTAAAAACAGAAAAGGCTATACAGGGTAACGTGTCTAGAATACTTAGAAGATATTGCAAATAATAGGAGGGAAAAAAAAGTTAAACTGAGGTATAATATCTGCCATCTTCTAGATTTTTCTCATACATGTTAAGCAACAGCAGAGCAAGCTAGAATACCAAATACTGCACAGAATATAATGACAAATGTCCAGACAGTTGACTTGAAAACTGCTAATTTCCTTATACTTATGCTGAAGCCATATTTTATATTTAAGCATATTTTTTTTTATAAAGCATATTCCAAGGGTGACTTTTGTCCAGTTATTAACCTTGCAGATACCTTTTTTTTAGAACACACTTTTTAATTGAGAAACAAAGAGAGGGCTCAGCACCTCTCAGATCTGAACTCAAATTAAGGAATAAGAGGAATGATTATTTCCATTTACACAAAGTGAGACGTCTCCCATTCCATTGCAGCAAACATAATGGCATGTTTAAGAACAAGGTTATTTTTAAAGTAGGATAAGTAAGTGGACATAAAGGGCTGGAACCCTGAAACTCCTCCACATACCTCTGATTTTGAAACCTAATTTATTCTGCTAGAGTATCCTAACAGCACTTTTTTCAAGGTGGCCACTATGATTCACACACAACTTCAAATTCTCCTGATAAAAGCTGTAATTCAAGAAAACCTCAAAACTTGTCCAGGTTTCAAAAAAATAAAACCTTTTCTCTTTTTTTAAAAACAACCCACATGCTTTTACTCCCTGCTCCACTTGCAATAATTAAACCTAATTCTAAGACAAACCAAGTTGCTAAGCTCTATTTTTCTGCTGTACTAGTATCTAGGTTTCTCCTTTGCAAATAGGCTTCAGTGTCAGGGACGAGGCAGGAAGGAAGTTGTGAAATATACTACAGTACTTAGAGTTTGAATTAGAAGAGGAGACCACATGGCTTTGTGGTCCCAAGCAACAGAACTTTCAAAACTAACAAAAACAATTAACACACAAACCCAGTTGAGGAATCTGATGCAGAAAGGATATTTTACAGTGTTCTATGGGGCAAACTCCCTAATTTCAGATCATATTAAACATGAAATGGACTAAAAAGATTAACTTTGTGAAGCTGACATCACATTCCCTCTGCTGCCCCAAGGTTTCATGTTTGTTAAGTTGAGACCCCATGGCCTCCCCTCCCTGCTCAAGCTGATCCGTAGCTCCCAATCCACTATACAGTTTAGTATGTAACTGTTTAAGGCAGGGGTGGGCAATTATTTTGGCTCACAGGCCACAGAGGGAGTTTTGGTGAGCTGTTGGGGGCCAGGTCAACACCCCCTGCTCTCCACACAACAACTCACCAAAACTCCCTAAGTAGCTCTGTTCTGCGCTTGGTCAGGCAGCTGGGATGGGGCCACGGGCAGGCGGGGAGTGGCATCTGGCAATGGGACAGACAGGCAGGTCTGGGATCACAGCAGGGTCCAGGGCCAAGCCATGATCCATTGCCCACATGACCCTGCAACAGGTGCCAATTCTGCAGACAGGGGCATGCAGGAAACATACTGCATCTCTCCCTCGGGGCCCTAGCCCCACACTGTCACCACCCCACGATCCTGGGGTCTCCATGAAGACCAGCCAGGACCTGCGTGGGCAAGGCATGCAGCTAGGCAGACAGAATGGGGCCATGGGCAGGCAGAGCTGCATCTGGGACCAAGTGCAGGATCTTGGGGCAGGGACAGCACAGAGCCAGGGTCCAGGACAGAGCTGCAATCCACCATCTGTATGTCCTGGCCTGCAGAACCTGCACCCATCACAGGGCTGCGCAGGCAGTGGATCATGACTCTGCCCCCACGCTGTCACCACACCACAGGCCACAATCCCCGTCTGTGGGGCAGATGGGCAGCACCGGGTCCAGCAGTGGCAACAGCCAGAAACAGATGCCACTGCCAGGGCTGCTGGAAGTGAATCCGCTGCTGCACCATCCCAGCTCCATTGCATGCCCGGAGCCACAGGACCAGCCACATGCAGCATGGCCTCGGCTCCCCTCTGTGCCTGGGCTGGGTTGGACCAAGGGACCTACCGCAGGCCACACAAAAATCCCTTGGTGGGACAGATCCAGCCTGCAGACCATATTTTGCTCACCTCTGGTTTAAGGCCTAAAAGTCACCTCCCTCAAAAATAAATAAATAAATAAATAAATAAATAAATAAATAAATGACATACTACTAATGTCAATAGTGTTAAGATTAAGCTGAAAGTGCCTATATATATTTCTGTATTTCATTTCCTCTGGGTTCCCATTACATTGGGTTCTTGTTTTTTCATTCATGCCTCCCTGTTATTTTTGTTATGTAACCAGGGAGATTACTGTCCTTCCTTGCAAACAAAGCCTCACTATAAATCTGGTACAGCAGTCATTGAGATCAGGAGTAGGGTTTTGTTCTTTTCATTTAAAAAAAAAAAATACTTACATAGTGAAACCATTCACAAGACTCAATTGCTAAGATATACTGCATGTAGGCTTGCCAAAAATGTTGTGTTAACCTTCCTTTATGGACAGTTGCACACAAATCTACTCATGATAACTAATTTACAGGAAAGCAAACAGGAACACAGGACTGAATAATAAGGCACCAAAGCTGCATAAAATAAAATAAGACAGATTATGTTCCTAAGGACAGATACAATTCAAATCAGAAATTATTAGACTAGTTCCTTGACTGCATTCATGACTCAGAAGCACTGAAGAATGAAGAAAACAAAAAGAACAATGCATGACTATTGCATCTTGGATTTTATCCTACCTCCATGCTTCTGTTCATGCCCACTCCTTGATTTGCTGTATCCATAACTCAAGGGCACTCTCTGGTAACTAGAAGGAGAAGCAGGAGGTGAACCGATTGGTGACATAGGGGGAGACTTGGTTTCCTGCTTCAAGAACAAACAGAAAAACAAAACAAAATTCTGAAAAGGCAACAGCATTAAGTTAAGCAATTGTACAAGCCAGTGAATCACATACAGGGTGACATGCAAGACAGTAATAACTGATAATTCCCCCATGTCCTTCATTTCTAAAAGAAGTGTCATTAAAAGGGGATGATAATGAAGTGACTGCTTGGTGTTGAGCCTGCTTCTGAGGAAATACATATGTCAATGCTTATAACAAATCATCAGAATGAACAATTTAACACATTTTTTCTTTCAGAGGTGTCTAGAAAAATATTTTTTATTAAGTTTTCATGTTACTGGACATTTTTTGATTTACAAATTGCATTTCAGTAGATTTAAATGCATTCAACATTTCAGAACATATTTTTCCATTTTTAAAAGAGGCAAGAAGCTAGAAAAAGTCCATATTCAAAAGTTATAGGAAGTCTGCAGAATTCTTAGTGTGTCAAATCCAAATAAGAGTTTGTTCCCTTTCCTTGATATATACAGATAGCTTTTGTAGAACACATGAACCTGAAATAACTTATCAGAAATAATAATAATGTTCTATAGTGTAAAGATAAAACAAGAATTGTAAACTAGGAAAAGTTATAAGTTTGATGGCATTGCTGTCCTATCATGACATTATTCACACAAAACAGATGCATTAAACTCATATTAAACTCAGGATTCCCATACTTGTATTATGTCAACACAAGATAAATAACTCTTTGGCTGTCAGGAGGCTATACATGCACATGCACACGCATATATACATTCTAACATTATAAAAACCTTAGTCTGTCTGACCGTAACGCTTTGAAAGCTTGTGGCCACAAACATCCTTGAATGGTATTTGTGCCCAAAAGTTTGCAAAGAACAACTTTTCCAACTATTTAGTTGGTCTAATAAAAGATATCACATCTACCCAAAGAACTTTGTCTGTCTATACACACACACATACACATATATATACATGCACACACACACATACATGCACGCGTGCACACACACACACACGCGCACACACACACACACACACACACACATATATATAGTGTGCATGTGTGGAGGGGAGGTGTGGCAGTGCTGTGTGTGTTGTGTGTGTGTATAGACAGACAAAGTTCTTTGGGTAGATGCAATATCTTTTATTAGCTTATATATATGAGAGAGAGAGTGTAGGGGAGGTGTGGCAGTCTTGTGTATACACACACACTGGCCCTGCCTGCCATCATGGCAGCAGAGTACCACCACCTCCTGTCTGGAATGCTCTTGAAGCACTCTGATTGGTTGTTTCAGACAACCAACCAGAGTGTGAATAAAGCGTTACAGACAGACAAAGGCTTTTTTATATATATGTATAAATAAAAATACAGACACATGAGTATGGTGTTTCGTGTGTGTGTGTGTGTGTGT